TTAAGAACATTCCCGGGCGTCTCCGCAGGCCGCTGTGCTTCCTTCGTCAAGATCCGAGTTTTCCACCCCAAACTACACATGTGCAAATATTACCAAAGTCAATAAAAGAGAATAAACGATGCGATATTGGATTTTATTCTGAATTTTTTCCATCTCTCTGTGCTCTTTGGTCTCCAGTTCTTTCAGCTCTGGGGTGGGTGTGCGGTGGTTGTGGGATCCTGGGCATCTCTGACATCTGAACTGTGAATTTGAGGGAAAAGATCCTGATTTTGAGGGGAAAAATCTCTCATTTTGAGGGGAACCCCCCCTGATTTTAGCCTTTTTAACCAATGTTTTGCCTGGAGATAGGAGTATAAATATTTTATATTTTTGAAGGAAAGCCCATGGATGGCCTTTGTGATGCAACAACAATCCCATTCAAACCCTGGACAAGTGGAAACTCCCAGAAAAACTGTGGCCGATGCTCATATTCCAAATAAATGTGACTGTTGACAGCGCGGAGGGGTCTTTGGGGGGGGAAGGGTGGGGACACCTTAGGGGACCCCCCAAACGGGGGCAGCGCAAAATGGCGGCCCGCGGCCGGACTACAACTCCCGCCATGCTTCGGGGCACGGGACTACAACTCCCGTGCTCCTCGCCGCCGTGGGCGTGGCTTAACGCCTCTATAAATACCCCCGGCCGGGCGGCGCACGCCCCTCTCCGCCGCTGCCACCATTTTGGGGCCTTCCCCGGCCGCCGCCTCCATCCGGCTCTATCCGCCTCCATCCGCCGCCCCGCCCGCCCGGACTGAGCGCGGAGCCGCCGCCGCCCCGCCATGAGGGCCAAGGTGAGAGACCGGGGGGGAGCCGATGGCGCCTCAGCAATGGCGGAGCCTGGATAGGGGGAGGGGGGGTCCCTGCGGCCTGGACACCCCTGAGGCAGGGGGAGAGGGGTGATCGCACCTCAGGGTGCAGGGGACGAGGGTCTCGGTGGGGGTTCCCGGGGTTGGAGGGTCCTGCTGGGGTGTCCCTGGGGGCGGTGGAAGTTGGGGTCCCTCGGGAATGTCTTCGCTGGGAACAGGGTGGGGGAACCTGTGATGCAGGAGAGGGGTCCGAGTGCCTCAGGTGAGGAAGGGGGCTCAGACCCGCTTGGGGCTCACTGGGACGGTGTGGGACTGGGAGTAGTGGGACAGTGTCGGATTGGGGACACTGGGAGGGTGGGGGAATGGGGCACTGGGATCCAGCCGAGCGTGGCACTGGGGGCACTGGGGGCACTGGGATCCGGCACCCCCGTACCGGCTCTAATGGCCTCTCCTTCTCTCCCGCAGTGGCGCAAGAAGCGAATGCGCAGGTACGTGGGAACCCCTGGGGGGACCCCCGGGGCCGGGGGGCTCGGGGGGGCCCCAGAGCGGAGTCTGGGGGGTCCCGGGGGTGACGCCGCCACCCTGTCCCTTCTGTCCCCAGGCTGAAGCGCAAGAGGAGGAAGATGAGGCAGAGGTCCAAATGATCTCCCCCGCCGGGGCCGCGGCCTGGGGCCATCCCGGTGTCACCCCGGTGACACCCTGAGGACACACCGATGACCCCCGGGCCGCGGGGGTCCCGCTGGGCCGGGCCCCGTCTGTCTGCTCTGTAACGGCCGCTGTGCTGTGAATAAAAGCTGGTTATTAGAACAACGTGTGGCGGCTCCTGGGGCCGGGGAGCCCTCGGTAATGGGGGCACCGGGGCGGCAGGAAGGGGCTCCTCTGGCAACAAGAGGGGGGCAGAACCCGGGATTCCTCTCATAACGGGGCCGGCGATCGGCACCGGGGATGCTCCGGGAACGGGGCAGGTGCGACCGGGGGCTCCTCCAGTACCGGTACTGGCGGGTGGTGCGAAAGCTGGGACCGGGGCAGCCGGAGCAGGGTGGGGGGTGACACTGGGACCGGGATCCTGGGCGGTGTGACGGGACCGGGAGGTGACAGTGGGACCGGGATCCCGAGCGGTGTGATGGGACCGGGAGGTCACAGCTGGGCTGGGCTTCAGGGGGGGCGACACCAGGAACGGGAGGTGACACCGAGATCGGGAGGGGTGTGGCGGGACCGGGGGTGACGCGGGCACTGGGAGGTGTGACGGGACCGGGAGGTTGTAATAAATTAAGGTGGGAGATGTAGTTTATCAACCAGGATGTATCTATTGCTAAAAATACTAGACTAATTAAACCTCAAGGGACTATGTACTAGTTATGTAAGAGACAAGATTGCCAGATGTTCTTAGAGTTCCAAGGACAATCCATATAAGGGGACCATTGCTATCGAGAACAAAAGGGGAAACAGAGAACACCCGAGGAAGACTTCTTACTTCAGCCTCACGACCACCAGAAGGCAGAAAAGACCCCTTAGTAACAGCCCAAGCATGCGCAAGAGTACTACCACTACGTCAAGAAAATGGAACCAAGAAACCATAAAAAGGGACTTATTTCAATGCGTTGTGCGGCAGTTGGAGGGGCGGTGACCCCCCTGTCGCCCAGCGCTGCATTTGCTCATATTCCGCTTGCTATTTCTCAGCAATAAATAAATTTTAATTGGTACTTTTATCATTTGTGGTTGCAGTTTATAACAATTTGGTGCCATGACTCGGATAAGGCACGGTGACTGCGGCTCTTCGGGGAGGCGCCCCGCGCTTGTTCGCGGCCCCGTTTGAGACCGATGGCTTACTGCAGCCTTACCGACGAACCCAAATTCCGGAATATTGAGCAAGGACAGAACCGGTTAAACCCCATAATATTCTGTGCACAGGAGTCCGGACGAAGACGATGGATTCGTAAGTATACCGCGCTTTTCATGGGGATTTCCATCCGGGTGGGGTTGGTTTTCCTGGAATATAACGAATGAGAGGCTCGATATACTGAGCCAAGCGAGTGCGGACCCTTTAGTACTGCGGTTCCCATCTCCCCGAAGGACTGGGCCAGGAATAAGGGGAGCGAATGTGTGTGTGATTGTGGATATTCCAGAAGATGGAAGCGAAGGGCAGCAAGCCTTCGACTCCCATGGGAAGGGTACCCTCTGTACCTAAGAATACCCCTCTAGCCTAAAGTTGTGAAGTGTGGAAGAGAAGTTTATTAGACTATTTTAGCCCTAACATCCGTAATCCCGACATATGCACAGAACCCACATGAACCATTCAAATGACGTTTAATTAAATGAGAAAATCAAAAGGTCCTTGAAAGAACGCTTTGAGACTGCAAAGTTATACATGCTTGCTTTCAAGTATAATGCTGTGCCAACAAGTAACCCTGATGATGATGATTACGTACCAATGAATCGCCTTAATAATGAGTATTGTAATTGTGATGTGTTTCAGGTAGTGGAGTTTGATAAACAAATTTCAAGTATGAAAAGAAAAAGAGGGGATTGTAATAAATTAAGGTGGGAGATGTAGTTTATCAAACAGGATGTATCTATTGCTAAAAATACTAGACTAATTAAACCTCAAGGGACTATGTACTAGTTCTGTAAGAGACAAGATTGCCAAATGTTCTTAGAGTTCCAAGGACAATCCATATAAGGGGACCATTGCTATCAAGAACAAAAGGGGAAACAGAGAACACCCGAGGAAGACGTCTTACTTCAGCCTCAACGACCACCAGAAGGCAGAAAAGACCCCTTAGTAACAGCCCAAGCATGCGCAAGAGTACTACCACCACATCAAGAAAACGGAACCAAGAAACCATAAAAAGGGACTTATTTCAATGCTTTGCGCGGCAGTTGGAGGGGCGGTGACCCCCCTGTCGCCCAGCGCTGCATTTGCTCATATTCCGCTTGCTATTTCTCAGCAATAAATAAATTTTAATTGGTACTTTTATCATTTGTGGTCGCAATTTATAACAAGGCGACACCGGGACCGGAGAATCCCCACGCGAACCCGGCGGGGCGCGGGCGCTCCTGAACGAGGTAGCGGTGACGCAGTTCCGGCGCGCCACCGCGAGGGTTCTTCCGGGCCGCCCCGGAAGCGGCGCCGAGCGGGTCCCGCCCGCCGCCGGCACCGGCCGCGCGTTCCGGCACCGCGGGCACCGCGGGGAGGCCGCGGGCGGTGAGTGTGGGCCCGGGGGGAGGTCGCGCTCCGCTGGTCCGGTCCGGCCGTGCCGGTGCGCCCCGCGGGGCTGTCACGGGCGGGGCCTCTCACCACGGGTCCTGGCGGCACTCGGGGGGCGCTGGCGGCACCGGTAACCGCGAGGAGCGGCAGAAAGGGGCGGTCCGGGGTCCCTCCGGGTTGGCGGTGGCGCTGGAAGCGGGCGGGGGCTGTTGGGACACCCGGGACAGCTCTAGGGGCACGGGAGGGCACCGGGGCCCGTGGGGGAGCTCCCGGGCCGTGCTGCTTCTGCGCCGGCCCCGCGGCGGCGCCGGTACCCTGGGGCAGGTGATTCTCCCCAGTCCCGGAGCCACCCCGGCGCCTCCCTCACCCCGTCCTTCTCCCCGCAGCACCCGGAGCCGCCCCCAAGATGCCGGACCGGGACGGCTACACCAACGGCAGCGGCGGCGGCGGCGGCGGCGGGGACGAGGTGGGCGCCAACGCCGATGACATCTGCCGGGACTTCC